ACAGCAAAACGACTGGGCATGGCTCAAGTGGTAGAGCACCTGCCCAGCAAGCATGAGGCCCTGAGTTCAAACCTCAGTACTGCAAAAGGAAGGAAGGGAGGGAAGGAGGGAGGGAGGGATGGAGGGAAGGAAGGAACAATTTCCTTCTCATTCTGTCCAGAGAGAGAAAGGGAGAGCCTGTATTTCGTAATTTGGTATATAATCAATGAAAAATATGGTTTATTCTCAAATAGCATGTAGGTCAACTGCATTTTGAGTCAAGAAATTAAAAAACCTAACTTTTCAACACTATGGTTCATCATAATCATGAAAGTCAGACTCAACAGTGGTTGCTATGCCTGGAAGTAGAAATAACAAGTACTAGTGAAGGCCCAGGGAATATATAATGACCATTGATATGAGTGTGTTCACAAAACACACGAATAGAGACAAGACCAATGGCTCACTCTTGCCGTGCTTATTACTTGGAACAGTTCCACCTCCAAGATATCTTCTTTCAATCGTCTAATGTCCGACGACCTCCTCCTCTTCCTCTTGCTTACTCACCAGCTCCTTTTACTGTTTCCTGAGGTTCTAATCCCTTAGCTTTTCTGCTTTATCCAATCTATCCTGTCTCCACACCTGTCTAATACAGGGCATTACCTCTCACTCAGAACACAGAACTGTAAGAATGATAATTGAGCACATGAGTAAAAGGTTTGGGGCTCCACTTACAAGTAAGGATGCCACACAAATAAAATGACGTATGGTTCAAAGAAACACAGAACACTGAAATTCTTTTGTACAGAATGGATTCTAGTACCATATGAGTTTAGGCAGATCCCAGATTTGAGAGTCCCAACTCTAATGAAGGGTAAAAGAGATAAACCTAAGAACCCTTTGAACTCCTAACACTCACTCTGTGATTCTGTTTCCACCAGACGTTACACAGTTCGCACTTCCAAATATACATTATCCTTGTGACACAAGCAAGACATTATTGGTGCCAAAAAGAGCAGCTGATTTGCCTCATTTGATTCCAAAATATATCAAGCACATCCTGATTTCCACCACTTTCAAAAAAAACCATCAACTGCAAATGTCAAAGAAATCAAATGTAAGCAAAAGAAAAAGCCAAGAAAAAATCACAATAAAATTGATTTATATATAATGCTGTTTCAAAGTAATTTCTTCAGGAATCAAAACCACACAGAGTAGAGTTGGCAGCAAACCATGTGAGAATCACCAACATTCTGAACAAAAAGGTCCTCACACCCACAGAGTTCTCGCAGTGTGGGAACTGCACGATATGGAAAGTGTACGTACAATGTGAGACCATAAAGGTTTAGGGTCTTCTTTTCAGACCAGGCTTTCAGACAAGGGCAAGACCCAGGTGTGACAATGCAGCCTGGGTTCCATTTGGAGGGCATCATACCAATCAAACAAGGCGCCATCAGCAGTTGACAGTTTGGGTTCAGTGTTCTCCCAGCACCTACTAAGCTTAGAAATAGCTCTGGGTATAAAGACAGAATAAAAGCAGCAGGCAGAAGAGAAGCTCAGCAGACAAAAGAGGAGCTCAGCAGACAAGGCAAAGGTGATGTTGACAACACCATGTGGCGATGAGCTTTGAAGCCCAGAGCCCAAGCCAGGTCCCAAGCCCAATCCCAATTTCACACCCACTTTGACCCTCACTGTAAGAGAGCACATGGACCTAATCTGGATATGTGAATACTGAATTTCATTGTCCTAACTATTCTCCTAACCCCCTTGTGTCTCAGGATCCTCCCTGTAAGACAGGAACAAAAACAGTGCCTGCTTCACAGGTAGAGTGTCCACGACAATGATGACGTGTAAACAGTGTAAGAATACTGGGTAGGGTCGTCATGATTACTTTCCTTACTTTAGACTACACGTAAAGTGAGAGGAAAACGACACTACAATGCATACTCAGACTCCAGTTCAGCCATGTGTACCAAGCATTTTGCTTACAGTTCACGAACAATGTCATTCCACATCCTCTGGGCGCTCATAATCAAATCAAATCAAGTACTGAGTTCATACTACACAAGACAAGAAGAATAAAGGAACATAGTTCATGAACAGGCATGGGATTTCATGGCTGTAATCCCAGGTACTCAGGAAGCAGAGGTGGGGAGGATCACGGTTTGAGGCCAGCCTGGGTAAAAAGTTAGTGATGACCCATCTCAACCAACAAGTCAGGCATGGTGGTGTGCACCTGTAATCCCAGATACTGGGGGGAGGATCTCCATCCAAGGATAACCCTAGGCAACAAAGCAAGACCTTATCTGAAAAATGACGAAAGCAAAAAAGTGCTGGGAAGCTTGACTCAAGCTTGACTGCCTAGCAAGCATGCGGCCCCAAGTTCAAACCCCAGTATTGCAAAAAAAAAAAAAGCAGCACAATTCAATATGCATCCAAAGTATAGCATATGGTTTATCCGTGCAATGGGATATATTCACCGATGAACTCCGAAGACATTAAACTAATAGACAAATACCTACATGTGCACCTAGAAGACACAAGCTCTGAGAAGGCAGAAGACAGGCAACAGGAGCTGGGGAGGAGGGGAAAGGGAAGTTACGGTGTGACAAGCAGCAGAGCTCCTACGTAAAATCTAGATGTGTGGTTCTGCCACCACAATGTCTTCCTATCTATTAGGGAGAATGAGCTGAGCCAAGTACAGCAAAAGTCCTGAGGAAGTCAACACTTTGCAGCACAAGGGAAGGGAAGGATGAAAATCTGCTCAGCACACTAAGTTCTGAAGGAGGCAGGAACCTTTAGTGCACGGAAAAACTTCCATTCAAAGGTCAATATGGCTTTCATTCCCAAAGAGGTAAAACTCCTAACTTCAAAATTACTCATTTCCTCAGCACTCCAAACAGAAGGGATGTGCTGAACAATATCAAGGATCTCATTCTTTTTTGCATTTGTGTGTGTGTGTGTGTGTGTGTGTGTGTGTGTGTGCGCGCATGTGTGTTCCTGGAGTTTGAACTAGAGCCACATCCCCAGTCCTTTTTCTTTTAGTTCCTTTTCACACAGGGTCTCACATTTTTCCCCAAGGACTCCTCCTACCATGATCCTCCTACCCACCGTGGTCCCCTACCCCTACCTCCCCCACCCCCATTGCTTGGATTACAGGACCTGCTTGTTGGTAGAGACCAGTCTCACTAACATTTTGCCAGCGCTGGTCTCGAACCTCCATCCTCCCAAACTGCACCTTCCGGGTAGCTGGTATTACAGAAGTGAAGCACCACATCCAGCCCCATTTACCTAATCCTCAAAGACAAGGATAGTGCATGTGTATATGTGAGTGTATGAGGGTCACAAATTAAATCTTCCAGATGTTTTAACTCCAGCAATATGACAAATATTCTACAATATGAAAAAAATTCTACAATATGTCAAATCATTTGGATAAATAAGTGAATAGTCAGTGTGTGACTATTGTAAAAAGGCTAGAATTTGGTCACTAGTAGTAGTTATTACCAAAAAAAAAAAAAAAAAAAAGATAAGTGCAGACTTTGAAGTCATACACAGGCCTCAATTTAAATCTTGGCTCTGCCATTTAGTTAGTGTGAATTTTTAGCAAATCAGTTTCACATAACTGAGCCTCATTGTTTTCTCTGTAAATTGGGGTTAATAATTCCTAACTCACAAGGCAGTTATCTGAGCAAGGGGGAAAAAAAGTGTATGTAAAGTGCTGGACACAGTCCCTGAACAGATAACCAACAATGAGCAACAACTATATTCTGTATCTTATCCTGCTTTGTGCCCCAAATATTGGAGACTCTAATCTTACCAACTAGCAACTCATTGGTAGGCTTCTCAGAATTACATGAAATACAACACACTGTATTGAAAAGGGAATGTACTTGGGCTGGTGGAATGGGTCAAGCGGCAGAGCGCCTGCCTAGTAAATGCAAAGCCCTGAGTTCAAACCCCAGTACCACCAAAAAAAAAAAAAAAAAGCCAGGTGCCAGTGACTTATGACTATAATCCTAGCTACTTGGGAGGCTGAGATCGGGAGGATCACAGTTCCAGGTCAGCACAGGCAAGTAGTTCGTGAGTCCCCACCTCCATCTCCAAAATAACCACAGCAAATGGACTGGAGGTATGACTCAACCCGTGGAACACCTGCTTTGGGAGTGGGAAATTCTGAGTTCAAACCCCAGTTTCACAAAAAAAAAAAAAAAAAGAATGCACCAACAGCGTAAGAAAAATAAAACCATAAAGGAGGTCAAGAGTTGAATTTTGCTGCTCATCCCATCCACCCAGCATCCCCCTGGCTGGTTTTGCAATAACCCATATTATTCTTTTAACAACGGTGCGTCCTATTGTTACACTGGAAGCAATCTAAGCATTCCTAGAGTGTTCTGTGGCTTGTTTATTTTGAGGGCTGCCTTTGCAAGAAACATTGCTATCATTGCTCGAAAACCAGAAAGAAATACAGGGGTGTAGGGAGCATTTTCACGGGAGGCGATTCCCAGCTCCACGCACTTCAACATGGACCGTTATCACCACAGGTCTTCACACCGCAGCCCGCCTCCCCCCTCGACCTCCGCCATGCCCGAAAACGCACGGGTTAACGAGCAAACTCCAGACTAGCGGGAAAACACGTTCCGGGGGACACCAAACGTCAAAAGTTGGTGCAGTCCACGAAGGACCCCACTGCAAGTGGCCACGAGTACGGCGGGCTGCATGTGCTTAAACGGAACCGAAGAGGAAAAGGGGGGAAACTCAGGAAGGCGACAGCACACGGAAGTCAAGGAAGGGTCTCGCGGCCGGGGACCGGAGTGTCATCCCAAAGCCGCGGCTGCTCCGCGCGGTCCTCTGACGGGGTTCAGCCCCCGCCGGAGTCGGAAGGAACGGGGACTGCGCCGCTGACGGCGCAGAGGTGAGGGCTGGGGATGGGCGCGCGGCCTCCTTCGGAACCGGTTGCTACTGTCCTCGCTCGGGAGGAGAGGAAGGCAGAGGGACCCGACAGCGAGCGCACAGATTACCTGTCTCAGCCGCCTGCCCTCAGCTCTCCACTTCCGCGGACTCCGAGCTACGCGGGCGCGCGCGGCTGACGTCACCCACGCGCGCCGGGGCCGCAGCCTCCTTTCTCTAGCTCCGCCCCCTGGAGGAGGGGGTGGCTGAGCAGACGCGGGGGAGTCTGCGCATGCGCAGAGCTATCACGTGGGGGCCCAGGTGGTGTCGTGGGGACAGCTCAGGTTGGTATTGGACGCATGGGATGCCCTGGTACCCAAGTACTAATTGCAAAATTTGGCGGACACGTAAGGGGGAAAAACAGTCGTTGAAATACAGATGTGCACTTTTTTCTTCAAATAAAAATTTTATTTATTTTACACTACACTTTTTAATTATTTGTTGTTGTTAAGCAGTAACGTAATTGCAGCTAATAGTGTTCTAGTCGTCCCCATTATCTGCAGTTTCACATTCTGTGGTTTCACGTTACCTATGGTCAACCAAGGTCCAGAAATACTAAGTGGAGAAATACCAATAATAATTCTTCAGACTTAAATTGCACACCCAATGTGCACTTTTTATTCCTCTCTGTCTTTGCTGCATGGGGTTCTGACTCAGGGACTCAGTGGTTCCACCACGATTAAAATCCCACTATGTGCCTGGCAAGCACCGTGACGGAATCTGCAAATACAGCAGTGGACAAGACAGATGCTGTGCCTATACCTTCCTGGCGATCATGTTCTAATTCAGAAAGCTAACACTGAATATCTCAACAAATATTTATACTATTTATACATGCTTTCTTAGAGATCAATATGTGGAAGGTAAAGAGGGAATTGCTGAGAAGCAAAGGAAACTGGCCACTCCTTCAACTCAGAGGTCAAAGTGCCCTCTCAAGAGGCTCCATGGGACTGAACTGAAAAGAGAACCATCTCATGACCTGAAGAGGAGCCAAGCAGAGGGCTACAAGAGCTCCAGTGTGGACAGGAGGCAGCATGGGGCAGGCACCCGTGAGAAAGTCGGCTAAGGGAAGAACAGAGGATGACATCAACAAGACATGGGGTGTCCAGATCAAGCAGTCTTTCTGGGCCATTGTAAGTAGCATGGATTCTATTTCAAATGTAATGGGAAGTCAGTGAAGAATGAGTGGTAAAATCTGGTTTTATAAAAACCACCAGTCAGCATTTGAAAAGCTAAACTCATCCTCTACCCCACCTCTCAGTAGATAGCATGATAGTCTCACAATCACCAAGCCTGAAACCCAAGATCATCCTTGACTTGTCCCTCATCCCACAATCCCATCAATTTAATTTTTTAGTATTATATTATTGTTGTACTAGGAGTACATTGTAACATTTACGAAAGTTCTTACAATATATCATAGTTAAATTCTCCATCATTCTCCTTTATCCTTCCTCCCCCCATTCCTGGAATAGTTTCAATATGTCTCATTTTCTATTTAAATACATAATATTCAACCACATTTACCTTCCTACACCGTGTCCTTATATCCTCCCCCCTCCCAGGGGTACCAACCCCCAGACAGGACCTGTTTTACCTTCCTGTTCTTCATTTTTGAAAAAAAAGAGACATTTTTGTTTGTTTAATACAGGGTGTTTCATTGTGACATTTCCATGTGTATATATATTATAACCCAAATTGGTTCATTCCCTTCATTTTTCTCTTTTCTACCTTAGTCCCCTTCTTATGGTGATTTCAACATGTTTAAAAATTCTATATTCATTCTTGCATAGGGAGTACATCAACCGTATTCATCTTCTTAACTTCCTTCTTTAACACTCTCCTTTGCATGACCTGTTTTTCATAACATGGCTGTGTTTGTTTTAGGTCTGTATTCCACATATGAGAGAAAACATGGCAGCCTTTGGCTTTCTGAACCAGGCTAACTTCACTTAAGGTCAATCAGTATCTCTCACAACTGCCCAGCACCTCCAACCTTATAAGTCCTTTCCCTTGTTCAAGCCATCATATCTTTCTTGGGGCAAGTTACTTGGCATCTATGCACTTCAGTTTTCTCACTTGTAAAATGAGAGGACTAAACTTAGAGCTGTTCCGTTTGTTAAATTCTGTTTTGTGAAGCCCACCAAACATATCAGAACAGTTGCCAAGAATGTGGGCAGTGCTTTTTTGGGAGGGTCTAACTAGGGTAATGCCAAAGATATGACAGGGTGAGAGGAAACACTGAACTTGATTGAAAAAAAACTAACATGACAAAATGAAATTAACTCTGGTTAAAACTGGCCAAGCTTGTTACAGAATAAAAACCGACTGAAAAAATAACTGTAGAAAAATTAATAAAAACAAATGCAATAAAATTTATCATTTATTCAAAATTGATGGAAGAATCAAATCTTGACAAGATTTAGAGCCAAAAAAAATTGATGCCGTTTAATGAAACACTAAAGAGAGTTCCTAATGTTAGATCCTCTGATGGTATAATTTGTCATGAAGAGGAAGAATAATTTCTATGTAAAATTTACATATAAGAGAACTGGAACTGATTTCTGAAAAAATAATTTTAGTGAGTTTATCTATAATACACAATTGATTATGACATTAAATTGGCATAATGAAATTTGCTCTAGACAATACTTTTATTGATGAAATCACCGACGTATGATTTTGATTTAAAAGTTTGTTCATACACACAAGATCAGTGCTTCCCAGAGCCAAAGTAACAAGAGTCAACATCCTGTATTCATCCAATGACTCCTGAAAATCTTTAATCCTTCAGTTCTTTTCCTTAAGGTCCAGCATGATTGAAGTAGTACAGCATGGCTTTGGATATGACTGTCACCCGTGACTATTTTGTCCTGTGCTATCAAGCCCTGAAGACCTGTTCATATCCCCTACTGAGATTGTATGGATTGGATTCAATTTCAAATAGAGAAAGTCCAATGGATATAGAGTGGACAGCCGACTGTCCCTCTATGTCTAGGCTCTTTTCTTCATTATAGTGGAACCCTCACATTCTAGTCAATGTCATTCACAGGGACATAGAGCCATCAGGATGTAAGATGGTTTTGTCACCCTCCCTTGCAACTAGCTATGGCCTTAGCAGTGGCTGTAAAAGAAAGTCTGATGTTATAAGTTGTAACAGGACAGCCATCTTTAAAATGTAAGTGGTATTTAACTTTTCTTCTTTCCATCTTCCTTCCTCTTAACTAGGTTTCAGATGTGCTGGGTTCTTCTATAGTAGCCATCTTTGGATCATAATTCAACTTTCAGAACCTTATGGGAAAGCAACAAGGTAGGAGTCTGGATCTCTGAGGACTTTTTGGATTTTGGGTGTTTTGGTTATATTAAAATTTTTAATTGTCTTTATTTTCAGTTCTAGAATTGGGTAACACTTTATTCCATAAATCAGAAAAAAATATTCCTAAGCATTTTTTGGATGGAACCAACTTGGAACCACCTCTGTACTTCAACCAAATAGCTGCTCTTTTATTGAGGTCACTTTATTTTGGATCTTTTTCTTTCACCAAATCTTAATTCTAACTGATGAAAGGGTGAAGAGTCAAAAGAAAAGTATACAGTAAAGACATTTGCAGCCTTCACACAGATTCGAATAGCAAAAAGAAAGGTCCTCTTGAAAGAAGTTGAGACCCTCTGCTGTCACCACAGGCCATGAGACCAGAACACAAAGACCTGTAGCATATATTGTCTGAGGTAGGAAGTTCTAAATTCAGCCTTTTTTTTTTTTATAGCACTGAGGATTGAACCCAGGACCTTGCACATGCTAGGCAAGCACTCTACCACTAAGCTATATGTCTAACCCCTTAGCATTTTAACAAAGCAAATACTTCACCTCAATTTGTAGGCTCATTCATAGTATTCTATTCAATATCCCTCTTTTGCCTACTAACAGACCCTGATTTTTTGGAAGAAAATCCACTTACTTCAGAGAAGATAGGTTCTTCCTCCAGCCTCCATGGATAAATGGTTACAGATCTAAGCCACATATGGGATCCCAGTCCCCTGGGTTTCATATTCAGGACCCAACTGTCCTTACAACTGAGGGTGGCCATTGGACGTAGTCTGGACAATGAATTTGAAGGAGAAGGCTGCTAAAGGATTCTGGGAAAGATGTCTCCTCCCAATAAAAAGAGAGTTCATAGACTAACTATACCTTACAGGTGGAATGGTATCATTTCTTTCTTTATTACTTGTGATGCCAGTGTAGGGGAAAAGATCCTGGGGTGCTCAACATCTATCTTGGGACCACAGGTGGTCATAAGCAGAAGAAGGAGGGGGGAAAGAGAGAGGGAACCTGAGTCATGGCTGAAATTGTTGAGCTACTAATCCAGTGTCTGGCTGTAGTCCTTGTTAGTAGGATTCTTGTTAATTGTTACTGTTGATGCTTACAATTATTTAGTTATTACTCTGCTTGCAATTTAAAAGGAAGATGGAGAGAAATTTAGTGATTTTTTTGCAGACTTCCCTGTTCGCCCTTCCCTTGTTTTCCATGCTTAAACAATATTAACCTCTGATGCTTCTGCTGTTTCTTCTGTCTTTTTTTTTCTGTTGCTGCTACTCTCGAGTGGGCTAAATAAACCCTTCTCTATGATTTGCCCTACTATAAACTAGTTTTAAGCTGTCTTTGCAATAATTCCCTTTCCATTTTTTGCAGTACTAGGGATTGATATCAGGGCCCTCAGCTTGCTCAGCAAGTGCTCTACCACTTGAGCCACACCTCTCCCCAGTCCTTTTACTTTTAGTTTTCTTTTTTTCAGATAGGATCTCACACTTTTGCCTGATCCTCCTCTATCAACACCACCTCCCAAGTAGCTGGGACCACAGATGTGTGATCCACCATGCATACTTGTTTGTTTGAGGTAAGGTCTTGCTAACATTTGCCCAGTCTGGCCTTGAACCACAATCCTCCTGTCTCTGCCTCCAGAGTATGCAACCTCTTTTTGCATAGATCTAATACCAATCTGTCTTTTGGCATGGTGTTCCCACTGCTTTAGGCTGACCTGTAAAGAGTTCCCAGAAAAGAAAGGAGTCTGTGTTCAATAGAAGATGAAGTTATGCCTTGTCTTGTTATAGAGTGGGACACTAAATCCCTACCCACTAAAGAAAGAATGTGCTACTATCTACATGGC